GTTTGGTTTTTTTTCCTCTCCTCTCTTTTTCCAGAGAAGAAGCAGCAGCTCCAGCCCCCAAAATCTCGCCCACCCGGCTTGAAGTTTCGCCTGCAGAAGCGGCCGCGAGGTCCCTCCTGAGCCCAACCGTCCTCGTCACCTTTCTCAGGAACTCGGTGGCTCCGGGTGCCACACGGGAGCTCACTGGGGTCGGGTTGAGCCGAGCTGAGCCCTGGTCACCGGCCCCGGCAGCCTCTTGCTTGACAGAACTGGTTGTTGGCCTTATTTTTAATTGTTTTTAATTATTTTTAAATTTTTTTGGCATCCTTCTGCCCCATCCTTATTGTTTTGATCATTGACCAACTGACTTTGGTTTTGGTTTGGTTTTGGTTTTGGTTTTGTTTGGTTTTGGTTTTGGTTTTGGTTTTGGTTTTGGTTTTGGTTTTGGTTTTGGTTTTGGTTTTAGTTTTGGTTTGTTTTGGTTTGTTTTGGTTTTGGTTTGTTTTGGTTTTGGTTTGTTTTGGTTTTGATTTGTTTTGGTTTTGGTTGGTTTTGTTTTGTTTTGGTTTTGGTTTTGGTTTTGGTTTTGGTTTTGGTTTTGCTTTTGGTTTTGCTTTTGGGTTTTGGTTTTGATTTGTTTTGATTTTGGTTTGTTTTGGTTTTGCTTTTGCTTTTGGGTTTTGGTTTTGGTTTTGGTTGGTTTTGGTTTGTTTTGGTTTGTTTTGCTGGTGTTTTTTTTCTCTTCTCCCCAATTTTTATCATGTCTGTGACATTTCCCTTATTGATGAGTAAAAGTGGGACTCCCACGTCCTGGTCTTTCTTGTGCATCTTTTGGTTGTCACTGTGTGTTTTTCTACTTTCCCCCCATCCATACTGGAAGCAGGTAATGGTTGTGTTCGTGGGTGAACCCAGGGAGAGGAGGACCCATCATCTTGTATGACCCCCCACCCCGGGAGCTGGCCCTTGGCTTGGGCAAGGGATGGTGGTGGATCTGCTTGCTGCTGGCCGTAGGCGCTTGCTTGGCTGGTTGGAGGGCAGCGGCGTGGGGCTGGGGACTGGCACACACTTGGCAAGGTGGGATGACATGATGGGATGCCAACCATTAAATTTTCCCCACCTGGCTCAGCCAAGATCCCTCTGTTCTCTCCACAGACAAGGACGAGTGCTCCAAGAACAACGGGGGCTGCCAGCACGAGTGTCTCAACTCCTTCGGCAGCTACGAGTGCCAGTGCCGCAGCGGCTTCGTGCTGCACGACAACAAGCACGACTGCAAGGAAGGTGGGACCACAGCCCAGACCCCCCCCACAGCCCCACCAGGACCCCCACACACAGGGACACTAAACTGGGGAAGGGTTTAGAGGGGAAGGGTGTGAGGAGAGGCTGAAGTCACTTGGATTGTTCAGCCTGGAGAAGAGGAGACTGAGAGGAGATCTCCTGGGGGTCTAGAACTTCCTCCCAAGGGGCAGAGGAGGGGCAGGCGCTGATCTCTTCTCTCTGGCCACCAACGAATGCCAGGAGCAGAGGGAATGGCAGGAAGATGTGGCAGGGGAGGGTGAGGTTGGCCATGAGGAAAAGGTTCTTGAGGCAGAGGGTGGTGGAGCCCTGGAACAGGCTCCCCAGGGAGGTGCTGATGGCACCAAGCCTGACAAGATTCCAGCAGCATTTGGCCAAGGCCCTGAGGGACATGGTGTGAATGTTGGGATTGTCCTGTGCAGGGACAGGAGTTGGATCCATCATCCTTGTGGGTCCCTCACAACTCACAGTATTCTGTGATTCTGTGATTCTATGACATCTGTCACCCTCTGTTGTCCCTGCAGCTGGCTGTGACCATAAGGTGACATCCATCTCTGGGACCATCACCAGCCCCAACTGGCCCGATAAATACCCCAGCAAGAAGGAGTGCACCTGGGCCATCACCACCACGCCGGGCCACCGCGTCAAGCTGGTAGGGATGGAGGGGACACTATGGGATGGGCAGCACAGGGGGGGTCCCCTCTGCCAAGCTCCACTGAGGGCTGGCGGCTTGGGCATCAACTT